ATTATATCAGATAAACATTATTTAGAATCCCATTATTGTGATTTGGGTAATTTATTGTCTTCTGGGTAACAAGTCAGTTCACAAATAGACTTGGAAAATTTAGCTGACCTAATCTAAGCCAACCAATCACAGCCTAAACCATCAATTAGTTTAACAAGTTTAAAACAAGCTTCGTCAAAATGTATACATGCGACTTGACTAACCCACTTACGGGACCCATATTTATACCAACTTACACTTATAACCTAACGTTACTTAGCATTGCTTTAAGGAAACTGTCTCACAAGAAAGCTATAGCATTATCATAAACCTATACGACACCATCCTGTCCACTAATAAGTGTGACAGATACAAGTTGCATTGTTCACAGGTTGGTTCTATAACGGATTTTAAAACCAACCTTTACCCAATCAAACTAAATCGAGCTTTACACAGCCTAAGTTAACGCAGTACATCCGAACCTAACAATAACTAGTTTTTGACAATTAAAATACGAGCTGTCAAAATGCTTTTTTGTGCCATAGTGATAATCCAAGATTAATGTTTCATGTTCTTAATGCTTAAGTTAATTTTGAATATATTATTTAGCAATTTAATAATACATTTTAATTAGTACATTATTAATTGTTCTGGTGCTAATCTTTCCCGAGTACATATTATTGTATTTCTCCACATAGAGTAACATACATTAGGAAGCATACCACTAGTAATACCACGTACTGCTGCTATAATACCACTCACAACAGTCGACTGAAACATACTGGAGACGGGTACTGAGGCTGTCACAGTCCTCCTCCGTGTGTCCCGCACAAGACCTCGGACCGTGGCAAGGTAGCCCTGACGAGGACTCGCCTGCCTATAGACCTAGGGGCACCAAGACTGTTAATTAAGAACTATGGGCCTACAGCACCCTTGGGCCTATACTAACCTGACGCCTACCTCTCACCACCATCATAAATAACTTCTTACCTTTCTCCGCGAGGATTGGCCAGAAACCGTTTGATGTCCTTATACACTAACTCCACAAAATCATTATCTTCACCACTTAAAAATCGTCCATGCACTAAAAAAGCCAGTTTGATAATTGTAGCACAATAACAAAGGTAAAATTCCCCCCCGAGCCGCTCAAGGCCGTCCAGCTCCGCTCACTGGGACTATGACGTCACTACTCAATACAATACTTCTTCAACATTTATCTCACCTCATTCCTCCTTGCCTAATTGTTATATTATTAATACATACGTAATTAAAGCGTTACTTATTAATATAATAAAATAGTAAATATTGTCATATAATAAACGTGTATAAATACTAAGAGGTACTACCGGTGCAGCTACGCGCTCTCGCCACTCGGGAGTAGAACCTGTGCTTCGGATCTACAATCTAAAATTACCTTTGAACTCCATATAATTCAACCCGTCCTACAGCCCTGTGATAGACTCTGTGTATATAAAAGAACGAACCCGACTGTACTACCGGGACCCTCGATAGAGTAGTCGGTAGTACATATGTAATATCGTTCAGAAATTTAGCAAATTATCAACCCGTCCTCCAAACAAAGATCCAAGTGATTCCATGCACCCGCCAAACCCCCTGTTTATGAATGAAAAGCAGTTTACACACGACTCACAACTGCTGACGTTCGAACATATCCGGAACAAGTGCTTCACTGACGAATTTTGTTCGAACCACAACATTGTAAATGCCTCACCCATGTACTACAAATACAAATAATCGCCAACAGAACCTAAACACCTAACCTAACATCACCTATGCCTATATATGCACAATATGCTAATATATTATAATATTAATTTATACTTGAGAAAATTCCCGTTTTGAATGAACAGCATGTTAAAATATATATGTTAAAAAAGCACCGCTGCTTTTCCTTATTCTCATATCAGATATAGACAAAAATACAAGTCACAGCTTCGTATCATCCTTTGCAGATGACACAAAAATCATTATGAAAATTACCTCGGCTGAGGACATTGAAAAACTTCAAGCTGATATTAATAAAGTTTTCGACTGGGCATCAGAAAATAACATGATGTTTAACAGTGATAAATTCCAGGTACTCAGGTACGGTAAAAATGAGGACCTTAAACATAATACAGAGTACAAAACACAATCAAATGTACCCATAGTAGGAAAACAGCATGTAAAGGATTTGGGAATAATAATGTCTGACGACCTAACGTTTAAGGAGCATAACCAAGCAAATATTGCGACAGCCAGAAAAATGATAGGATGGATTACGAGAACTTTCAAATCCAGGGATCCCATCACAATGGTTGTACTCTTCAAGTCACTTGTGTTGTCCCGTCTTGAGTACTGCTCAGTACTCACTTCCCCCTTCAGAGCAGGAGAGATTGCTGAAATAGAGGGAATACAGAGAACATATACGGCACGCATAGACGCAATAAAGCACCTAAATTATTGGGATCGTCTCAAAGCCCTCCAAATGTACTCACTAGAAAGAAGACGAGAGAGATATCAAATAATATACACGTGGAAGATACTGGAGGGCCAAGTACCAAATCTACACAGTAAAATAACAACGTACTGGAGTAAACGATATGGAAGAAAATGTAGAATAGAACCAGTGAAGAGCAGAGGGGCCATAGGCACAATCAGAGAACACTGTATAAACATCAGAGGTCCGCGGTTGTTCAACGTCCTCCCAGCAAGCATAAGAAATATTGCCGGAACAACCGTGGACATTTTCAAGAGGAAACTAGATTTATTCCTCCAAGGAGTGCCGGACCAACCGGGCTGTGGTGGGTATGTGGGCCTGCGGGTCGCTCCAAGCAACAGCCTGGTGGGCCAAACTCTCACAAGTCAAGCCTGGCCTCGGGCCGGGCTTGGGGAGTAGAAGAACTCCCAGAACCCCATCAACCAGGTATCAACCAGGTATATGAATGCGTCTGTGGGGTTGACCGCTGAATGTAATGGACTTGAGTCGAGGACGGGTTGGGCATTTACTGCGTTATGGTTCGAACAAAATTTGTCAGTGAAGCAATTGTTCGGGAAGTGTTCGAACGAAATCAGTTGTGATTCGTGTGTAAACCGTTTTTCATTCACCCAGGGGGTTTGGTGGGTGTATGGAATCACTTTTGGGTCTATGTTTGGAGGACGGGCTGCACAGATTAAGAAAGTAATTAGAAACAGAGCAATGCAAAAGATGTATAGTGACCACAAGACAACTGTTGCAAAATCAGGATCTGCGGGTTGGTACAAGAATTCAACCAACTACGAACCACTTATTTTGATGAAAGGGAACAGTTGAACAACAGAAGTACACTTACATCGCATATGGCTTGGATACCCATGTGCATGGGAAATAGGCTTACAGGTTTCTGAAGATGAGAGGAAATATCAACACTGTGGAGAAATGCCCGACAGACCACTGGAACATTATCTAACACAGTGCACAATTACAAACCCAATAAGATTTCAACTTAGATTCAACAAAGCAGAAGTTGTTGAACACATTGGGCAAAATCTTACTGAAGCGACCATACGAGTTATAAATACTCATACTCCGCCTAAGTAAAACAGAAACAAGCAACACTTAATGGGCCAGCCAGAGGCTTAGGGCCCGCGCAGGAATTTCCCTGTAAAAAAAAAAAATATGTACTCAATAATGACAGGCATAGACTATTCTATTACATTGTGAAGTCAGTAGTTCCAGAAACAGTACAGTAGTTTATTTACATTAATAAGAGATCGGATGTGAGTCTAGGAAAAAACTTACATCACTAAATGTCTTAAAGAAGTCAGTAATTAGGTGATAATGAGCCCCGAGCCGGTGTGGTGCTCACCCTATGAAAAAACGCCTTTCTCGTGAGCGTCCCCAACGTCAAGAAACTGTTGTACTAAAGTGCCTATCTTAACCTACAGACAGAAAACGGGACATTTCGTCAATTTCGCGAGCCGCTACCATTTTCTAGTGCGACAGTTTTAGTAAAGTATACGTTAAAATGCGACGTGCTATTAGGACACTCCAACGGTATCAGATACCTTGAGCTCTGTATAACTAATTCATACACTTACTGTTATTATTATTATACTTATAATTATTATTATTATTATACACTCACGAATATTAGATTAAGATATTCTTGTGCTCTACCCAGATTTTGTGAGTACAGGCTAATAGGTCAGCCTCGCAGTTCATGTAAGACTAACCATTATGTGAGAAGGAGGGGTATTAGATGAATTTATTAGTAGCTTTTGCGCTGCACTTTGTAATCGTTCATATAGAATAGGGTAACAGCACATTGCTGTGTATACCTAAGCTTGTTAATAAAAAAAATCTTCAGAAGGACATAGCTGCTTTAGAGACAGTGCAACACCGGGCAACAAAAATCATTCCAGAGCTAAGGCACGAATGGGTATCGGGTAAGGGCCACAGGGCTAACAAGACTGCAAACCAGGCAAGACTTCAAGGGCGGATCTCATCGAAACTTAAAATAGTGAACAATTTGGAGGATGTTGATCCGGAAAATTTCTTCAAAAGGTCAGATGTAACACAAACAAGGAGCAATGGTTTCAAGCTCAACAAGCCACAATGTAGGACTGAGAAGAGAAGATGCTTTTTCACCTATAGGGATATTAACCCATGGAACTGCCTACCCGCCAGAGCATAAACGCCGAAACTCTGTTAACTTTTAAAGTACAACTGAAAAAGATCCTCAAGACAAATGGGGGAGACCTTCGACAAGCCGCTGGTTTCCTGCCCTCACCGAGGCCACTAGTGTCAGTGGTTCTCAGGTAAACCCAGGTAAATCACTATAGATTTGTTCATTTGATGCATCACGTTAGTGTGATTTCTGTGTGTAGTGTAAATCACTATAGTCTCGCCTTCCTAAACACACTCAAAAAACAGATAGTAACTAAACCGGTACTTGATATATTTACCTAGTAATTTTAATAAAATTTAATACTTCCTAGTATGTATATTTTTTAAAATAAATATAGAGCACAATGGAGTATTTAGTTGAGGTATGTATAAGGTAAAGGAATGGTGGAGGCTGCGGGCGAGGGCCAGGAACGTCTCCCGGCCGCCGTGTTGTCGTCTGCCTCCAGTAAACATTAATACTTCACCCACTGCCCGGTAGGAACCCCAACTTGACCATTGTAGGTCGTTAATACTGTTGAACCTATTAGCAAGCCACATAAGACTGACCGTAGGATGTGTGCGTGCCCCATGCCCAGCTGAGCCGTGTGACTGGGGGGCGTGGGGGAGCCCCACACTCTGGGCTGCACACCACTAACCTGTGTCAGACAGTGCCCCGTGCCCCTGGCACTAGTGCCACCCCAGGGAGGGTATGCCAAGTGTATATGTAAAGGAACGATGCCCATCTTCCCTAGGACACCATCCTAACCTAACCTTACCTAGCCATTTGATCGTCTTTTATTTAACTAATAAATAATAAATAAATCAATGTTTGTTCAGGTAAGGTACATTCATACAAGAGATTTTACAAAAATTGATAGATTTATAGATAGAGCTAGTGCATACAATGCCTAAAGCCACTTACGCAAAGCGTTTCGGGCAGATTTTAACTGATTTTACCTGAGGGCCACTAAGAGTGTTAGTGGCCTCGATGAGGCCAGGATGCTGGCGACTTGTCAGAGGTTTCCCCATTTGTCCTGATGAATTTTTTTCTAGCTGGATTTTACAGTTCAGCAGAAGAATTTTGGCATTTACGGGTTCGGTGGGTAGGCGGTTCCATGGACTTGTAACCCTGTGGGTGAAAAAGCATCTCTTGTTCTCAGTCCTACATTGTTGCTTGTTGAGCTTGACACTGTTACTCCTTGTTTGTGTTACATCTGACCTTCTGAAAAAATTGTCTGGATCAACAGCCTCCAAATTGTTCAGTATTTTGAACATTTTAATGAGATCAATCCATTCATGTCAGGTTTGCAGTGTTGTTAGCCCTATGGCCCTCAACTTGTCCTGGTATGAGAGTTGACTATATATAATATTTGTATATTAGTACTAATATATTTATACATCTAATTACTGTACTGTATAGTATAATTTTTTTCAGAGATGCACTGACTGCCTCTGTGACTTAACTTCAACATGCTGAAAGTGGGCTGTGGAACAGTGGCAGTATGTTTAAGAGGAGCCCGGTCCCAGCTACAATGGACTCCTCGAGTCTATGCACCAACTGTTTCATCAGTGAGTTATAGGTCTCAGGGATTTGCTTTCATACATTTTGTTATAGCTTCAAATTCTTTAAAAAAAATGTATCCTGATCTATTATAGTAAAAAGTATCTTGTTTTATACATATTGAATGAGGCAGTGGTTCACTCAAGGAAAATGGGTATAGGGGGGTCAACAAGACTTTTTCCCCTAATCTCCCCTCCTTTCACAATCTTAAATTATGTAAATAAATACAGCTATTATTTTTCATATATATATATAAATTGTATACAATATTTAGTTTTAAATGGGTACTAAAAATATATAGGCACATGAATAATAGTTTGTACAGTATATATTTTTCCCTTAAGTAAATTCAGGATAAACTACTACTGAAGTGAGGGAATGAACGACTGTGTATGCATTATTACCTAAGTGTAATTCCTTAAAGGTAGTTACAGGATGAGAGCTATGCTGTTCAGGGGTCTCGTCTTGCGGGTACTCTTTTTTTTTTTTTTTCATATGACACGTTGAAACTACTGACAATTTTGGCCCCCACCACCTTTTCACTAAATTTTTTCCACTGTTTACCACTCTTAGCAAAAGGAAATTTTCAAATTTTTTGGGAGCTTTGTTTTCTTAGCTTAAATTTATGACCTGATATTCTTGAAGTTCTAGGTTTCAAGAATTCGTCTTTATCAATTTTGTCGATTCCTGTTACTATTTTGTTTGTGATCGTGTCGCCTTTTTTTTCTTTTATCTTCTAGCCTTGGCATATTTAAACCATCTGGCCTCTCATAGCTCATTTTTCAGTTCTGGTAGCCATTTTGTTGCATGTCTCTGCAACTTTTCCAATTTGTTGATGTGCTTCTTGAGATATGGGCACCATGTAACCACAGTATATTACAATTCTGGTCTCAAAAAGGTCGTAAATAATTTTTTTAATATTTTGCCAACCATGTATTTAAAAGCAATTCTGAAATTGGAAAGTGTAGCATAGGCTCCTCTCACAGTGTTCTTTATACAATCCTCAGATGACTGTTTTCTATCCAGAACCACCCCTAGATTTCTTTCTTTATTAGACTTTGTACATTACAGTATGTACTCACCTAGTTGTGCTTGTACAACCTGTCCTCTTAAAAATAGCATCACTTTTGGCTCGTTTGCACGCTATGGCCAAATTTGGATGTAATTTGAAATGAAATCGACTCACAAAAGTGACGTACTGTTCCGTTTTCTGTTTGAGTCGTCCGGCTTACTCGCTAAGGGTAGGAGAGGAAACTTTCAATTAACGTTTTTTATAATGTTTTGAAACTTTATGAGAATTTCCTGTGACCTGACCTACCAGAGGACCCTTAAATTACTGTTGTTGAAAAAAGAAATCTCAAATTTATTTTCATTTTCAAATTACATCCACTTTCGGCCATACGGGCAAACGGCCAAAAGCAATGTTATTTTTAAGAGGACAGGTTGGCTTGTAAGAGTTGAGCTCGGCTCTTTTTGGCCCGCCTCTTAACTGTAAATCAATCATCTTTTTTGCTATTGCTCATGAATCAATGTGGAAAATGTACTAATAAGTATATCTTTTTTAGGTGAAGAGGATACATGTTACATTTGCCAGCACCACTCCCATCATCAGCAGTTTGGGACCTTTAGAAAATCAAGACACTGATGCAATCGCTACATCTGATAATGAGATAAATGATGTTCCAGCTCTCTTACAAACGGCTACCAATGGAAACACACACTCTTCTGCATTCCAGGTAGGCATTAATAAGTTTTATCTTGGTATTTGAAGGCATTATCAATAATATGTTATTAATAATATTGTCTTATCTATGTACTGTACTAGGATCTCGTAATACAGTTGAATTTGTTCTCAACCTTGTTCTATGTTATATATAGGTAGGATCCTTGCGTTTACAATCGTCTGATAACCCATGATATGAGGAGCCCAATGATGCCACAATGGCCATTGTAGTTCATCGTTGAGAGACTTTACAAGAGAGAAGTATAGCTGTCCAAATACACATGTATTCCACTGAGTGAAGTCAAGAGTAAATTTTTGTGTAGCGAGGAGAGGTTTGGCTGAGGTGTGAAGTCACTAATCTCTTTGGGGACCTGCTTGAGGCTACCAGCCAGGTCAAGTCACAAGTGTCAGGTCACGTAGATGCCTTCACTAGCTTCAGGAGCATTCTATTCTACACTTCTTACCCATTTGGGAAAATTCCACTCTACCCAGGCAGTCCAAGAATCTACTTTGTGATTGACTAGCTATGGAAGCTGATATGTGATTGGCTATGCACTTTTGTGTGAGCTAAGCAAAGACGGGAGCATACCTTTACACCAGGCTGTGGAATGAACACCATTCTGAACTGGGCAGCCAAGCTGTGTATTTATTGTGGAAGTTTCTGACCTCAGCCAAGGACAGAAAGCATTACTTCTCACCTGACTCTCTTTGACGTTCTTTACCATTTAATCACATGAGGCTGATTTGTGTGTACAGAATCACCAAGTTGCATTCCCGAGATTGTGGATATACACTAGAGAAACTTCATTAGTGTGGAAAGAAACCACACTACAAAACTTTCACTTTCCTGTGACAGGACTTGTCTTTGTTCAGTAGTAAGGAGGACATAGGGCTGGAACCCTGAGTGACCAAGGCTGCCACCTGTTGCCAGCTGATTTTTTGGCAGTTTTGTTATCTCCAAACTTTTCTTATAGAGAAGTTAGGTGTTTTGTGCCTTTGATTTTCAGGCAGTTCATCTTCTTAGTGTGTTAGTATTTGGTCTCCATGTGTTCTATTGCCTCATAATGGGAAGTAAGATATTGGTCCTTGGTCCCAGGGGAAGATGGTCACAGTAGCCTGGTGTATAGATTGTAGACCCTGGGTGCCAGTCATATGAAGTGGATCCAGTGTGTAAACTGAGACATAATGTATCTACATCAATTATAGTAACATGATATACCTACAGTGATCCACATTGTGTAAACTAAGATATCATGCACCATATAACCAAATTTCTTGCTTGAGTTTAAATTACAAATTTAAAATTTTCAAGCATTTTAAATTGCATGTTTCTTTGCCAGGGTCTTCATACACTCTCTGACTGGGTTTCCAACAAGAAGATAGATTTTAAAAAGGATGTTGAAACTGAGGAACAGTTCACAAAGTAAGTATTTCTGAGCTTAATTATTCTGCTACTCCCAGATGTATAATAATGTTACATATGCAACATATATGAGTGCATATATGCACTCATTATATGAGGCCATATACAGTAATTTGATTCAGCCTGACTGAATACGTACCTCTTTAATGTAAAGCAGATCACTGCATGCTTCCAGGACAGGAAGACTACTCTATTCATAAATAAGCTTTTCATACTGTAAGGCCAAAGACTATCTTTTATTCATAGGATTACATTTGTGGCATTTGTATTGTAAACTATTATTATTGTAATGGCATGTAAACAGGTGGCAAATGTGTAAAATGGGTAACTTAGCAAGTTTGTGACTGAGGTAAGAAGAGCTATGGAGTTGTAGAGTCGATGTCAGAAGCAATTCTTGAGTTACTGGTGTCAGAATTGCTAAAAATGTACTGTCTCTGACCCCCTATTCTACAGCTAGATGCTAAGTTTCTTTAAAGATTTTGTAAGGATAAATTTTTTGATCTACAGTACTGTGTAATCTTTATAATTCATAATTTGTATAATTTTATTCTGAAAAGGGAAGGGAACTGTTAGACAAAGCTCTCACATTCTTGTATAGTTTGTGTGTTTGATATGCCATTACTTTATACTTTATTGCCTTTTGATAAAGATACAGTATAACATCAGTGTCTGCATTTTCTATGATTTGTTTTATTCAAAATTTAAGGTTACTAGATGTTTATAATTTCTTCAGTATATTAATATATAAGCCATAATGGCATAGCTATATCCTTTAGATCTAACCTATAACAGGTAAGAGTTCTAAACAGTAGCCTTATGATTCCTGCTGGTAGCGTTGACATACCTTGCAAGTTGTGTGCTTTCAACTGCTACAGGAAATAAATAATTAGTGTACCATATTTGAGAAAATTGGAGCAATGCGGGGGATTTGAACCCTCGACTTGGGTACTGCCAAGCCACGCACCTTACCTCTGGATCATGACATGGTATAAGTTATACAACCTGGGATTCCACTGAAACCACAAGATGTCTAGAGGCCTCCACTGAAGTCTATCCAGGTTTTACACTTAAACCTCCCTGCACTCTGGTGTAGGTAATGGAGTTGTGTACCAAGCTCCAGCATCACATACACAAGGAAATCACACTAACGTGATATATCGCTGAGAAAATCAGTTGGAGGTAAGGTGTGGGGCTTGGGAGTGCCCAGGACGAGGGTTCCAATCTCCCCTGCATTGCTCCAGTTGATTTTCTCATTGGTATTTCACATTTTTGTGATTTCCTTATGTATTGTATTATTTATTTCCTGAAATAATATATAAATTGAGGAGTCCGAGGTTTCATGTACCAACTCCACAACCCTGAAGATAAATGTGACTCACTTACTCTGTTATTTATGCTATTATTGTTTGATATAGTTATTCCTCATTAGTCTTGGGTTTTATTTTATATTCAATTTGTCTTTCCAGATTAATAAACTTGATAGACAGAGAAACTATTCGAAGCAGTCCTACATCTTTATTAGCTGCGCTCAAGAGTCTGATGAATCTTGGTGTCGACAGCAACACCCATGTGGTTCAGGTTTGTTGTATTTACAACTGATTGTAGTTATTCATAATTTTACAGTACCACATAAGTTACCAATTTACAGTATATTATTACAGTTCATCATCTAACCAAAGTTCCTTTATCTTCTCCATGTTATTCATTATACTCACATGAAAGTACAGTACAGCATATCACTTCCATGCCAACCCATCCTCCTGTTTAGATAGTACTCTTTGTAACTATGGGCACCATAGTACAAACATTGATGTAAAAGGCAATTACAGTAGATAGTAGAATTTGGTACTATTCACTTTATAGAGTACAAAAAAAAAGCTAAAAACTAAATTAAATGTTCCTAAGCCTAGTATAGCACATATATGTACTAAATTAGGTCTCAGATAGTGTGTATTATTCCTAGGAAGGTTAGTTTGGGTTGTCTTTGCAACATAAATACAAAACCTTTTCTGGTTTGTCCAAATTCAATAGTAACGATTTCTACTTTCTAGTTGTCTATTACTTCATACGTGTATTATGGTCCTAATCGTTATTATAAGTACTAGCTAAACAGGAGGATGGGTTCTCCATGCATATTACCTTTCTCAAGATAAGTATTATAAACTAGTAGCCATTTTTTTTTTGTATTATTGACCTCTCCTCTCTTACCATGGTAAGCCCTTTATCTGTTCTTCGTGGTGAGTTAACTTGGGGAGCTGCCAAAGGGAGCATTCCATAAGTCTGTGTTTAATGCAATGAAATGCCTCTTTCAAGTTGGTCTATTGGTGGCTCCCCATTCCTGCCTTATCCTTCCCATGGTGTTTGGGGGTTGCTGCTTGAGTAGTGTGAATGACCGAGGTGGTTGGCTGGGACTGATGGTTCACTCGGGCTGCCATCTGGTGGTGAGCGAGTAGTGCTAGCTGGTGGTTGGATGTAGTCAATGAGTGTGTACATAATTCACATCAGAGTTGCAAATGTTATGCATGCAGGTGCTTGTTTTTATACTCTGACTTTCTGGTGGTTTTTCCTTCAGTTATGTGGTGATCTTGTATTCCCACAGACTTTCCTACCCTCTGTTGAGGGGAATCAGATTCTGGCCCTAGTTTCCAGTAGGTACTTGTTTTATGTTAGAGCCTGGTCTGGTAACCAAGTTTTGGAGGTAACCAGGTGGGTTGCTCAGAGAGCCACTGAGGGACCCACCAGAAAGAAGCATTTCATTACATTCAACAGTGGATTTTTATTGTTGGAACTTCCTCCATTGTAAGCTATATTAACCAAGATTTCCACAACTTTCTCAAGACTCATTACTTCATATTTGTTTGGATTGAAGAGGAAGAGTAGTAGTTCAAGAAGTGAACCTTGTGTGACACAGCTTGCAGCATCCCTCCACTCGGACTTCTCCACTCTGGCAACAACCCTCTGTTTTCTGTTTGCCATTATCTCTGATACAATCTGGTATCTTCCCAGTTATCCAGGCCTGCTCTTCCCATTTTTGAATTAGCCTTTTATGGGGGGGGGAGGGGGGGGGGACATTTTGGCTACCTAGAATGATACACTCGAACCATAATTCTCTCTTGTACTGTATCTTGGTAACCTTCTCATAGTACTGTACTGTACTTGAATAGGTGTGTCAGGCATGCCTTTCTCTTAAACTATTGTCTTCAGTTACAAAGCTAATCCTCTCCAGATGTTCCACTATACTCTTTCTGATTTTCTTCTCAGTATTTTACATAGGATACATATTTTTAATAGTTTTGTAGTTTAGAATTTCATATCTTCCTCCTTTCTTGAATATGGGAACTACTGTATGTGTGTGGCCTTTCAGGCTTGCGAGAGTTCCTATTTACTGACAACATTTTATAGACCTGTCACCTTTTTCAATCTCAAATGTAAGATTTGGTCTTTTTGTATTGCTTTGCTTACATCCAGGTCTTGAAGATGTTTGTTTACCTGCTCCTAAGTTATAGTACTTTGGTATAGTATATCTAAACAGGTTGACTGCCTTCCTGCATCACTTGTACCAGCTCTCCACACTAACTTGATCTTGAAGCCCTCCTGGAACCTTCTGTTGAATTCTTTGCAGACCACCTTGTTGCTTCTTGTAAATATGTTTTAAACTCTCTTTAGTGTAATAAACACTATTGACTGTCTTATATATTGATTGTATATAACTGTGTACATGTATGTGCATGTTTGTATTTTTCTGAGTGGAACAATAGTTCAATACGGTGATGAATAAGAAAGGCCTAAAGTATATGTTACAAATGTTTTATTTAGTCATCAAATTTACATATAATTATTGTCATTTATTATTAAAAATTTTATTAAATTTTTAATGTAAAGTAATTCTTTGTCAACATATCTCATTGTTTTGATTGCCCATGTGACCTGCTTTTTGTTGGCTTATTTTGATTTTGATGTAAATACTGTAATATGATTTATTTATGCTTTAACAATTTTCTTTTCAGTCAATTGAGAACCAGTTACTGTGGAACATTAGAAAAGTGTCTTTCTCTGTGTTGGTGTCCATAATGATCTTCCAAATACAACATCAAGATACTGAACTACAGAAAAAGGTTAATGACTGATTATTTCTTGAGTTTCTTGTTTTGTAGATTCTTTTGTCTTTGATAATGTGTTGTAATCTTTATAGGTGTACAAGCCAATAATACAGTACAAATTATATAGAATACGAGTTAGAGGGAGAGAATAAAGATAAGGTAAACATTGGTAGTGAATGGTGGGTTGGTGAAAGTAAGTGCACATGGCCTGGTGCTAGAAGTGTGTCATGCTGTGTACAAGTGCATTATGTCACTGACTGGTGGGGAAGACTCTAGCTTCTAAAGTAGTTCTTTGCATGCATGCACTAACATATAAATTCTGTGGTGCTGGGGAAATCTTTTTTTCACTTTGACCTACTGTATGTTAGATATACAGTACAGAATACTTTATATAGGGTGTTGAGGGTGCCAGACATCTCTCAGAGCTGGCACTTCAGATACTCCTCGAGTCAGAGCCTCTATGGTCTTCCTGTGACTCGTATTCCTCTGCAAAGCACGCAAAACTCTCTCAGAATTTATGGTAAAAATAAGCCAAAACTTTTTTTTTTCTTTTTTTTTTTTTACTAAAAGTGATAGATGTTGGTCATATTTGGATATTCACATATTTTTAAGAATTTGTAGAACACTTTGCATGATACCTTGCTTGCACCTCATTCCTACCCTGCTGTTCCCTTCTCTTCTGTGAGGTTATGGGTCAGCTGTGGCAACTTGTCAGTGAGGAGGATGGGTGATCAGGACTCTGGGGGACCTGGGCTGTCACCCAGGTTTCAACTGTCTGGAGCAGTTGAAACGAGGATTGTTTGCTTGTTGCCAAATACCAGTTGTAGTGTTTCTCTATTTTCATAAATTTTTAAATGAGCAGGTGTTTTATTTCATGATGCCTTTGATGTTGTGGATATTGTAATTCACTTTAGTTATGGCTTGATCTTTGATCCTCACCTGCTCCCTTTGCTTCTTCGAGAGAGCTAGATAGATTCTAGGCCTGGCTTCCATTAGACCAAGAAAGATTCAAGAGCCTGATGTTTAGGGGGCAAGGTGTATGATACAGTGCTGTAAGCTCCAAACTCCCAGGAGATACTGAGGCACTGTCTAGTGGCATTTCATTATGCTCGACGTTCTATTTTTGAGTACAACATTCTTTGGTAAGTAAATTTAAGTGTTTCAGATATATTAGAAGCTTTAAATTACATTCATCTGTGATTTTTTACTACTACACTAGTACTTCTTGTGTGTTAGTGTTCTAGAAAACTAGTCACTCATTGGTTATTAGGACACAAGGAATATTGTTGCCACTGTACATTCTAGTTAGGCTATTTGCATAGATGAGAGCTAGTCTGTATGGGATAGAAGTTACTGTAAATAAAAAATCTTTTCTAACAAAAATCTTTCCTAAATCACCAGTCTTCATTAGGTTAGTTTTTAAAACATTGTGGAGCAAATTATTTGCTTGGATTTACAGTGATACGAATAATAAGCCAGGTTGCTTGGCTGTTTAAAATAAATTATATAGTATAAGGTATTTGACAAACTATTATTGTATACTATTTAATATAGGAAACATATTGTTGATTTTAACAAATTTGCTAAATTTAAATTTTTTTCAGGTAGTAAAGGAATCTCTGGAAGCTATACAGAGGAGATGGACTGAAATCAAAAGTGCATCAGAAATCGAAGCATTTTATAAACACCATGATTTATTTAACTCCGAGTTTCTTGGACACGTGGACGATCGTACAATTGAAGTTTGTGAAGAGATGACCTATGGGGAGCTAAGCAAAGTGTTCTGTGCTCTAGGAACGATCAGACGGCGTGCTACGCCTGTCTTGAGAGCTTTGGCATTCCATATGGCAAAACAGGAAGAAAAGCTATCTCCAAAGCAACTTTGTAATATTTTGTTTGCCATGCATATCATGAGCTTTCCTGATTCAGTTTTGTTAGAAAAGGTGGCAAATGATTTGATTCCACAAGTTGCTAGCATAGACAAGCCAAAGCTAGTAAGTTCTCTTCTCTTTTCTATGGGTCAAATGCGATGGAGACACACAAGTCTGCTGGAAGTCTTGTCAGAGTGGATTGAGAAAAATCTGCAAATCTGCCATGTGAGCAATTATTCAGCTATAATTGTTACACTGGCTAGTGTGTCATATACTCCAACAAATGCTGACACTTTGTTCAGTGAAATAATTCCCAGACTTACTCCCTCAGCATTTGTCAAAAAGACAGCATGGCTAGATATTGTTTGGTCATTATCTGTATTAGGAAGAGCCACAGAAGAACACATATCTTCAGTGTTGCATCCATCTTTTGTTATAGATCTTCCAAGTACAGATCAATACCTGCGATTGGGGATAAAACTAAAGCTTCTAAACATCAACGCAACGTCACAGCTGAACATGCCTTCGTACAGAGGCCCGTATCTTGATGTTGCAGATTTCAAAGATGTAATAATTTCTAAGAGCAGGGATGACTTGAAGCTCACTAAACACATTCAAGTCATGCTGCACAACTTCCTCCCTCCACCCAAATATATTAAAGAAAATATTCAAACTGATCTGGGAATATGTGTAGATGTTGAGCTGGCAATAGATCAGAATGGGAAACCCATTCCAGTTCAGGATTATAGTAATAGCCTCGGAGAATCAGAAAGTTTGCAGCCGCTACCTCCACTACCTGAAGGTGCAACTAAGCTGGCAATGCTGGTGTGGGGTTATAGAGACTACACTGTTGGCTCTCAAAAACTAATTGGAATCAATCAGTTGGCTGTACAGCTATTAGAAAAAAAAGGGTACAGAGTAATACAAATTCCTTTCTATGAGTATAATATGAAGGCAAAGATTCTAAAAAATGTACAGTATCTTGAAAGTAAAGTCAAAGGGGTTGTTGAGCCATTAAACCATTGAATTCACCAAACAATATTTTTTCATGTATATAAATTTTTAATGTATTTATGTGGGAAAATAAAAGCAGTAAGGTTCTTCATAGAATAATAAAAACTGTCTCTAATATTAATTGTTTTATCATGTTTTTTTTTAATATTATACAAGCACTGAACATATAAAAAAATACATACTATATATATGTGCGTATTACATGCATATGATATACGTATAAAAATTATTATTCAATTTTGCATACATTCATGATATCCTTTGTAATTTTATGAAGTCTGAAGTACTGAATCATGGCTGAAATTGTATATCTGCCCATCCTCCCTCATGAGGCACCACTCTGATATGGTGAGACAGTATTTGCACATTATGAGCAGTTGAGGGCAGTTTCTGCTTGTCTCTCTCGCCTTCTGATACAGAGTGCAAGCAAGGTTTTTGCTGTAATAGGCTTTTCTTTTGGGTCATCAGACCCACTGGCTACAGGGGCTGCAATGTTTGGTTGGATGGGTGTCCAGGCTGGGGGACAAGGTGGAAAGGAAGCTTGGCACTGATGTGAATAAATATTTCTCAGTTGATTTATTCATATTCTATCCTGTGTCAACTTTTACTTACATCCCCTTGTTGCCCTGGTAGATCATATTGGCCCCCCAAGAGCCACCCACCTTTTTCTGCTTCTTTTATGAAAACTTTGTTGTTTTCTTTCTCTTGGTGGATGATCAGCCCCATAACCAATGTCTGTTTGCAAGCTCGACTCCTCCCTTACACCAGGAGAACAGCCCTTCTTCCTGTTTTGATAGTACTGATTTGAAGGATGAGGCTCATAGCACATATACCAATGTACAATACAATTAGAAAGTAGAAATCTGTACTATTGACTTTGGACAAACTGGAAAAACGATGTTCTACTTACGTTGTAAAGAACTCCTACAGTTACTGTTGTGCTCGATACTGCTGTATCCTCCTGATCTAATGCCCATCTCCTCCAAGGTGATTTTAAATGTAGATATTGTTGAGGGTCTTAGCTTCCCCACTCCTGGGTGACACTGATCACCCTGGGGAGGACCTCAGTCCACTACGGGGTAGGGTTCCTTCCCGAACCCGGCCTTGCACCTGTAGCAAATGAAGCGACTTGGTCCTCCTTGCAAGTGTGTTCGTAGACACGGAAACTCAGGTCCACTTTGACCGAGCTGCCCAACATAAAACCAGTCCAAGGCCGCTAACTGGGTCTGCTCAGCTTTGCAGTCCAGTAATACTCAGTAATACTCTTAATTTAGTGGTGGATCATAAATTCCCCAGTATAGTACCTTTTGTTAGGGTATGGTGCACCAACTTCTCTCTCACTATAACCGTAAAGATTGTGGAGGGGAGAAAGCAAACATGCTAATAAAAACATGAATGTTTACTGATTAATATCTACATTTGCCCCAGGTGAAACCTTCCACTGGTCCAGTGGGATGGCAACACTCCTGGAAATATACATGTCTGGCAACTTTCTCTGTCACTTCCAACACTGTCCATGGATATCACCAACACTGATATCCGTGCTATATCGCATACACATAAGAAAACCTAGTCAAGAATTCATAGAAATATAGTGTCAGATTATATCACTCCAACATTTGATACCTATATGTTTTGAGAATGAAATATCAGTTATCTATAAATGTATCCATACACACATCAGTGAGTCTGAGAATCTCCTTACATTGAATCTAATGTTATCACTTCTTATTAGAGAAACCCAACCTAACACAAGGGACAATGGGGAGGGAAAGATTATCTACCTTCTCAGTCTGCTATGTAAGTCGTGGATTCCATGTCACGATGGTAGATGGGGTCTGGTTCCTCATAGGTCCACTCTGCAATGGCAGGTGGGGTCCAGCTCATCAAAGGCCACGGGTCGTTTGTAGGTTTGCGCATCTTCTCTGTGCGCATTTCTCCTTTCTGCAACTCCTTCCTCGTATACCGTTAAGGATGCTGTAAGCAGGCACCACTCTCGGCTTCCTCCCTCGCTCACTGGACTGTTGCCTCTTTCCCTGCAATCTTGTCGCCAGTAACTATCGTTATTTTCTCAGTAAACCCAGTCAGTTGTCTCTTCAGCCTCACTGAGCTACCAATGCTTGCGGCCCCACATGAAAATGCCAGGCACTCTCCCAGTACCGCCTCCCAACGTCACAGGTCTTGTCGGTCTCTGGCTCCTGGTGTTGTCTCCTACCAGTGAGGCTTTGCCTCCAGATGCTCCCATAGAAGATAACAAGCCTCCTTTTTCGTCTGCACTAGTAATTCCGGCCAAATAATGGCCTCTGAAAGCCTACACGACCCCCTTGCTAGAGAGCTTTTGAGCGCACTTTTGCTTGGTTTTGTAGCAGGGGAAGCTCTCTCCTCTCTTTCCACCTAGAGCTGAGAGTGCCTGCCGTCCTGCAAAGTCACACCCTGGACGCCACACCATTGGTCACTGTCACACCCTCACTACTGACCAATCAGCAGACAGTTGGTGGGGCTCCCACAATGCACTGTAGCCCTGCCCCCTTGGGTGGCAAAGCTCTTCTCCTCTGAGGATCCCCTCCTTCATATTTATCCTGGAGTGAAATCTGGAAGCTTCATTTCAAATGAACAAAAATCATAATTGCCATCAACCGACATCTCAAGCCTCTCCTTAAATGTACAAAATCACTTCACCATTCTTCAAGGTATGTACAGTATATACAAATAAGAAAGTTATGACTCTTATATGTGGGATATAGGGTAAAATAGGGCTGAACTCCATAATAATATACATTATAGGCTATGTTGATACTTATTCCCATAGCCGTCTTTTATATATTGTACCTTCATTCTTTCTCTGTCCTTATAAGTTTTAAATTCTCAGGAGGTAACTCACAGGATCTTATTATTGCCTTTAGTGGTATAACTACTACTATGCTAGCCAGGGTTTATTCCACACTTATGTTGCTGACCTCTCTGTGCTGATGGGAGTACTGATTTGATCCTTCAACACCAGTTAAAGCTTGCAGTTGATGGTGCATTGTCCTGGGCGGCTACCAAGAACTTTTGCAATAATATTTACTAGGAAGCCTGTCATCCATTGTCCTTTCTTAACCCTTTATGGTAGTTCACTTGTGTTAAAGGATACTGTACTGTGAAATTCTTAAGGTTTGTAATCGGCATCTGCTTCACTTGCATGCTGAATGCACCAAAACCTTACTCAAAGAGGTAAAATATTGCCTTGAGTGATAGGATGGTCGGCCGAAGCGATCTCTGGCTGGTCTAATAAGCTCTGCTCATGCTCATGTGCTAAACAAATATTTTCAGAAATTCCATATCAGATGATGCCTTTTAGTGCCATTGGAATGTTTACTGTTGAGGTATGGATGATGCATTTTAATGTCATTGCAATAGTAAGGTGTTATGAATGGCAAAGTCTGTCTAGAACAAGAATTTATTTAACCAACAAGAAGTGTTAAAAATTAATAAGAAAAAGCTGAAGAAATTATGAAGAACATGTAGCAGAGTAGGCAGAGACAAATTCTAAGGTTTTTAAGACTGAATATAAAACAAAGATTAGGGAGAAGACTGGTCCATTGAAAATGAGACATGAGGTAAATGATAAATATATAGGTGGTACTTTAAATGTCATTAAGTTCTTTCAGTAGCCCCATCAAAGGTGCTGCCTTGACGTGAGGGGGGGGGGGGTCTCTTGTGCACTGCCCTCGGACGGGTGTTTGTGCCTTCTACTTCTATCTGCCTGCCATGGCAGAGTACAAGTGAAAAGCACCCTGTGATTGAGTTGCCCATATGTTTGCCATGTATGGAGACTCATATTCCTCATTTTCTTTAATCTGGTTGTTGAGTTTTCACAGCAGCTGCAGCACCTGAGGCAACACACTTCTTTGATGGAAGGATAGGAGTAAAACAAGAAGTTGAGTGGGGTCTGACCGAATCAGTCTGGTTGGTGGGTTTAATCATATCTAGACTTAGGTCAAGTGGGCATTGGAAGGTTGTTATCACTATCGGTTTTTGGTCTGCTGGTCAGACCCTCCAGTGGTCACCTACACTGGAGGGTCTGACCAAACTCTCCTTGTTTCCTCTGCGGAACACACACATGCACACAAATGGAATTCAATGCAAATAAATGCCATGTTATGTAATAGGAGAAAATAGACCACACATAACTTACAAATTATGTGGGAAAACATTATAAATATCTGATAAAGATAGATCTAGGGGTTCTTATTTTTGCATCATCAGCAAACATTGATAGAAATGAGGAATCACCCACTCACTTGTTTACCGACTGGTACTAGATATTCCAGTACTGGTGTAACAGTGTATAAGGGCATGAAAGTGGGCATAATGCTCCCTTTGGATGATCATTTACATATATCAGAAACAGGATGGGTCCAAGTACAGAGCCCTGTGGGACTCCGCTGGTGACATCTCGCCACTCTGAGGTTCCCCCACCTCACAGTTACTCGCTGTTTCCTGTTGCTTAGATACTTCCTTATCCACTGGAGCATCTTTCCTTTTTATTTCTGCCTATTTCTCCAACTTTTGAGAATTCTATTAAACCTGTGAGACACCATTTACCATCCCTGAACCCATGCTGATGGTGTGTTACGAAGCTCCTTCTCTCCAGATGTTCTACGAGCTCTTTCTTCACAATCTTCTCCATCACCTTGCATGGTATACAAGTTAGGGAACTGGCTTGTATTTCAGTGCCTCTTGCCTGTCACCTTTTTTGTATATTGGGATTACATTAGCTGTCTTCCAGCTCTCCAAAAAGTCTCATGTTTCCAGTGACCTGTTATACACCATAGAGAGTGGCAGACTTAGTGCTTCTGAACCCCCTTTTAGTATCCATGGTGAGATTGTCAGGATCAACAGCATTTGTCACATTCAGCTCCAACAGATTCCTTTGGACCTCATCACTGGTAAGCTCAAATTCCTCCAAGGCTTCTTGGTACTGCCACTTCTCTCAGTACAGGGACTTCTACTTGCTCTAGTGTGAAGACCTCATGGGAATCTCTTGTTGAGTTCTTCATGCACCTCCTTGTCATTCTCTGTGTATCTGTTGTCCCCTTTTCTCAGTTTCATCACTTGTTCCTTCATTGCTGTTT